TTGGAGGTGGTTGGCTATGGTGGACGGGTGTGGGTGATGGAGGAAGAAGAAGGGTTGGAGGTGGTCGGTTATGGTGGACGAGAGTGGGTGATGGAGGAAGAAGAATGGTTAGAGGTTGTTGGCTATGGTGGACGGGTGTGGATGATGGAGAAAGAAAAAGGGTTGGGGGTGGTCGGCTATGGTGGACGGGTGTGGGTGATGGAGGAAAAAGAAGGGTTGGATGTGGTTGGCTATGGCGGACGGACGTGGGTGATGGAGGAGGAAGAAGGGTTGAGGGTGGCCGGTTGTGGGGGCGGGTGTGGGTGATGGAGGGGGAAGAGGGGTTGGAAATGTTCAGGATTGGAGGAGCGGAGGTGACAGTGAAAGCTTATCGGACACAACCTAACTCTTAACCCCATGCTCCCTTTCTACCCCAAGTGTCCGGCCACCTCATAGCATTCTCGGAAGGCACCAGTCACGTGAAAGAAGAAGGACTGAGCGGGGCTACCGGATTGCAACACACACACCTACTCATACCGCAGGTCATCGGTTGCAGCAAGGAGTAAGGGTGGACTGAACAGATTACCGGGGACTGCAGCACATACACCCACACATACCGGTGTCACTAGTTACAACAAGGGGTAAGGATGGACTTAACAGGTTACCGTGGACTGCAGCACATACACACACACATACCGGGGGTCACTGGGTACAGCAAGGGGTAAAAGGTGGATTGAACAAATCACCGGGGACTGCAGCACATACATACACACATACTGGGGGTAACTGGGTACAGCAAGGGGTAACGGCGGACTGAAGAAGTTACCGGGGACTGCAACACATATGCACACACATACCGGGGTTCACTGGGTACAACAAAGGGTGAGGATGGACTGAACAGGTTACCGGGGACTACAACACACACACACACACACACCGGGTGTCACTGGTTACAGCAAGGGGTAAAGGTGGACTGAACAAGTTACCGGTGACTGCAACACACACACAGACACATTCCGGGATTCATTGGGTACAGCGAAGGGTGAGGATGGACTGAACAGGTTACCGGGTACTGCAACACACACACATACACATATCGGGGTTCACTGGGTACAACAAGGGGTAAAGGTGGACTGAACAAGTTATCGGGGACTGCAACACATACACACACACACACACACCGGGGTTCACTTATTACAGCAAGGGGTAAAGGTGGACTGAACAAGTTACCGGGGACTACAACACATACACACACACATACCGGGGGTCACTGGGTACCGCAAGGGGTAAAGGCGGACTGAACAAGTTACCGGGGACTGCAGCACATATGCACACTCATACCGGGGTTCACTGGGTAGAGCAAAGGGTGAGGATGACCTTAACAGGTTACCGGGGACTGCAGCAGACACACACACACACACTGGGTGTCACTGGTTACAGCAAGGGGTAAAGGTGGATTGAACAAGTTAATGGGGACTGCAACACACACACGCACACATATCGTGGTTCACTGGGTACAACAAAGGGTGAGGATGGACTGAACAGGTTACCGGGGACTGCGACACACACACACACTCACACCGGGTGTCACTGGTTACAGCAAGGGGTAAAGGTGGTCTGAACAAGTTACCGGGGGCTGCAACACACACACACACACACATACCGGGTGTCACTGGTTACAGCAAGGGGTAAAGGTGGACTGAACAAGTTACCGGGGACTGCAACACACACACACACACACATACCGGGTGCCACTGGTTACAGCAAGGGGTAAAGGTGGACTGAACAAGTTACTGGGACTGCAACACACACACACACATATACCGTGTGCCACTGGTTACAACAAGGGGTCAAGGTGGACTGAACAACTTACCGGGGACTGCACCAGTTACACACACACACACTACAGTCCAATAACAAGATTAAAAGCAACCTGTTTAGGAGGAAAGTTCGCCGAGGCACCCCAAGGCAATTCGCCACTTACACATGCATCAAATCAGTGACAACTCAAGATTTGAAGCATCTATATAAGGGGAAAGATCACCTGGAGCATCCGAAGATGAATCGCAACTTATCTAAGCTCCCAAATCAGTGAGAACACAAGATTTGAAGCATCAACACAAGGGGAAAGTTCACCGAGCTATCACAAAATGAATCGCTCTCGGCGCGAATACCCTTAGAGGGATATCCGCCCTGTTTTTTGCAAGTGACAGAAAATAGTTGGTTTAAAGTTTAAGTATACCGCGCTGGGCGAGGCTGTGTCTGTAATTTGAGTTGACTGGATTGTTGACCAGAGTAAAGAGTGTGTGGTGGCGCAAATTGAGGCGCGCGTGATCCTTTATTTTTGGTGGATGATTGTAGGAGTCGGCGTATCTGCCGACCAGATTTTTGTCTTTTCTGATTAAGCAGGGATTAAAAAAAATTTGTCTTGTTGATTGGTGTGCTTGCCTGTGCCCTATATGTATGTGCAGAGGACGGCATTGACAACGAGGAGGCCTGGGAGTGTTTTCGGTAGATCCGAGCGTCGAGCGATGTCCGTTCATTTAGGCGTCCGTCAGGGTTAAAACCCAGGTTTGGGCTTAGCATTACCGGTTACGATATCGGACTTCTATTTGGGGAGGTTCAGGGATCGAGATCGAGCGGCGGCGGTGCAGGAACATCAGAGTAGCGCAAAGGGACTAAGGGGTTGAGGGCCCGACGGGGCTATTCCCCTTGGTTTTGCCGCCAGCGACGCTAGGACGGTGCTAGCATCATCTTTTACCCCGTTGGTATGTCCCGACGATTGAGAATTCTAATAAGTTTATTTAATTGCTGTTTTACTATTATTCTTTTACTTTTTTGTGTTGTTGTTCCGACGCCCGTCGATTTGGGCGCAATGCCGGACTTAGTGGCCGCTGCGGGAGTCGAGGATCTTGACTGCACGAACCCGTTCGGATTCTTGCATGTTCGGGAGTCCGGCAAAATTCCCCTATCCTGCCTGTCGTGAAAGGTCGAGGGCCGAGGAGTTCAACGTGCATGCGAGCCGATGGGTGATTAGCCCACAAGGCGGAAGAAATTTGAGTGGTGGGATCTTGTCCGTAGGAGTACCGTTCGTTTCCCGCCGGTAGCGGTGAAGAGATTGGGCATAAGTATGCCGGTGGGACTCTGCGCAACCTCGGACTTTAAAGTCCTCATTTGAATATTTGCTACTACAACGAGGACCTGGGTCGGCCGTTTTTGGCTAGGCCCACGCTTGAGCACATAGAACACCCGCGCCCACGCTCCATGGCTCGTTATGAGAACTCTGAGTGGGACTTACCTATTGTAGGACTGAAGGGGTGGCGGGCCAGGCTTGGAGGAGAGAGGGGAGTGGGTCGGACGCCCGTGGGAGCGGCGCCAGCCAGCAGGCGGGGTACCTGCCACAGCAGGTGGGCGATACCGGCCGAGGATTAGCCGGCATTAGCAGGACCGAGCTTTCCCGGTCGGCCGGGAGATCAACCGATAGCCACCAGGTCGGGCAGCGGGGGCAATAACGGCAGTGCGCAGGGCAAAGTGGACTGAACCGCGCGTAGCGGTGCTGTGAGGGCTGGCAGCGGGGTAATAGCACAAGTGGGGGCGGGTGCTAAGGTTGCCAAAGGGACACTCTTCGACCGTGGGTAGAACTCGGAGTGCCCCAGCTAGACAGCGCTGCGCAGCAGCGGGCGCGGCGCGAGGGAGAAGTGCTAGCGCAGCGGTGGAGGGTGAGAAAGCATCGGGGCGACGGACAGGTCACGGCAGCGGGTACATGCAGCGATGGAAGGAGCGCTTCAGGCAGCGGGGCAGCACAGCGTGGGATGGTTGACGGCCGGAGCGCATGGGAACGGCAGGTGACGGGTAGCAGTATGGAGGAGTCGGAGAGTGGCGAGGGGAAGGAATCCGCGCGCGTTTCGGCGCCGGATTCATTCAGAGCGGGTGCCAAGGAGCGAGGGAGGATAGAAGTCGGGCGGCGCTGTGTAGCAGCAAGGCAGAGCAAGCTACGAGCGCTGAGGCGGAGCACTGCGGGGAAGGCAAAAAAAAAAAAAAAAAAAAAAAAAAAGGAAAAAAAATAAAGTGGGGATTGAATCTAGGCGCAGAACCGCGCCGGGTGCATGCGGGTGTGGGGAAACGGCTATGGCGAGGGAGGAAACGGCTGCCTCCCTCGTTCCTCAACGGATTTGAGAAGGGGAAGAGGCGATCCCGGAGTTTTGACCCCGGGCGAATCTAGTGAGAGTGTTAGATTTAGATGAGGATCAGTAGATAGGAAGGTTAGTCGAAAAGTTAGTGCGCGGTGAGTGTCCGGAAGAGAAGATGGCGGAGTAGAAATTTGATATCTCGCTCAATCCTCGATGGTTTTGAGCGAGATAAAGTGATGCATAGAGGTTTTTGAGGACGGCGAGTTGGACTGTGGAGTTAGTTTTGGAGTAAAGTTAGTAGGATCGGAGTTCGTAAGAAAACTCACTACGCTGGGGCATGGCGGAGCAACGAAGGAGGCGTGGCGGGGAGACTGGCTGAGCGCAGCCAGCGAACGGGGATCGGACGGGCGCTGTGCCGAGGAGCGAGCCAAGGGGACGAGGGCTTACCTGTGGCCGGTGCATCACCCACTGAGATGATGGGAGTAGCGACGAGGAGCGACACGGCCAGCGGGGTGTAGGAAAACGGGAGGAGAGAGCTGAATGAATCCGGACGCTATAGTGCACCGGGTGCATTCGGAGGTAGAGTTGGCAGATAAGGCGCAACAGAAAGGGAGATGGCTCGCCCGGTTCTCAACGAAAACGGGCGGGGGGGGAAGGTGTTAGT